AAGATCTGCAGGCCCTGACCCAGGCAGGACTGGACTTCATGGACTTCCATGCTGCCTTTGAACAGCTCACAACACAGGGCAGAGGCCATAACTAAAAACACGGGGGTTGGGGGGTGCTGTTTCCCTTCCGGGGTGCTCCTTCCTACAATTAGCCTCCAAAATCCAGACAGCAGTGTCACCTGTAGTCTCATTTGGCATCCCTGGCCACAATCCTAACACAGGGATTTTTAAGAAGACATGAGCAAAGACAATTGGAAAGCAATTTTTTTACTGCATTTCACCTTCACTGCTGAGAGGGACAAGAGCCATTGCTGCTGGCTAAGACAGCTGAGCCCCAGGGATATGGCAGGAGAGGGGGTGGCTGCAGGCTCCAAGGACATTCATCCTTGGTTTCAAGAGTGCTTGCTGGACATGGGGAGAGAATGCTCACATATGTCCAACTTCCAGTGGAGGAAGGTGAATCCCGTTCTGTCACCATTTCATCGCCCCTGGCTCACAACTGCCTCCTTGCCATTTACAAGAGAAAAGGATGAGGCGAGAGAAAGAACAAACAAGGAGTGGTAAGTGCTAAGACAGGAAGTGGCAGCAGGACAGGAGGAAGCAGGAAAGCAGTATCTACAATAGAAGACAGACTACACTTCTGGGAACACTCAGCACATGTGTATCAACCTGCTCTTACAGTTGCTCACAGCTCTTCTCTATCCCTACCAAGTGCAATGATGAGCTGTACTTATCAGCACTCACCATGCGCCACTGGGTAACACGGGTGTTGTGTGCATGCATGTATGGTCAGACATACAAACCTATAGTTCATACAAAAACTACGGACAGACATACACACAGAAAGACACAGAGATACATGCATGCATGCACACTATAATGTATGTAATACTGGTAAACCTGCAATGTGTTGTTTAAGTTCACTGAAAAGATGCCTGGGAAGTGGGGTTACCCCCCCACACACACTTCAGACCCAAGAAAGTATGTCTCAAAGTGTGTTTTACAAGATGGCCTATCTGTGGATGGTCTTCCTGGGTCCCAACTCAGTGACAGGGAAAAAAACAGGAAAATAATGCAAAAGTATAAACATGCCCTGTAGAACAATTGGAACGTGAACCAGGAGCTGAGAACGTAGCTCTGAGCACAAGTGCTTGCCTAGCATGTGCAAAGAACTGGCTTGGATTCCCAGCAACACAGGAAGAAATGAAAACAAAAACAGAAGGAAGCTGAACCATTTCCAATAGGGGTTACTGTCCTTTATCCCATGATACAAGGTGCCTGCAGTGGGAATGGGAAGTTGGAAGCTCATCAGGAGAGACGATCATGAACTTCAGCTAGCTGCCTCACTGACTTGATGTTTTGCTATCTGCTGCTTCTATCTGCTACTATTTATTCTTTTATTTGATTTGCTATATACTAATAAATTCACTCATTTAAAACACAAAACACAGCTATCCTAGAGCATTCTCTAGATATTACAGCACACACACACGCACGCACACACACACGCACGCACACACACACACACACACACACATACACACGCGCGCACACCTTATATACACACTGCTTATTTCCTTAACTGCCCCCACAGTCCTGTGTTGTTGTGGACTTGCTGCATAGCAATGTCAAGCAAACTGCCTGGGGCTCCAGCATTATAACCCCTTTTCCAGAGGCCTTCTGGTTTGTCAACGCCCCTCCTAGATATGGATACAGAAGTAACTAGTCTGTCCAGAAACTGTCTGGCGGGCCTAGGAACCACAGATCCTCAGTACCCTCAGGAGGTTGTAATGGATAAGCCCTGACATAACACTGACTTTTACTAGACAGCGTGTACCAATGGCACGTGTTCTTGCTAAATACAGGAGCAATGAAGACTAGGGCCTCAGAGTCTAGACCTCAGGGCTCTTTACCCTCTCCTGTCATCTGGCTCCTAGATCTCATCCTGACCAAGGTCCTTTTCTACAGGTAAGGTAGAGAGCACTGGCTCCCACCAGCTGTGTAAAGGCCAAAGGGAAGTCTCATAAGCTCACATACCCTCAGGGTCTGCTCTGGGCCCCAGTGGGTCCCTCAGGGGAGTCGGTTTATTAGAACACCAGCTGCTCCAAAGGTCTAACCAAAAAGGCACTTTGTACCTTTATCTGAAGTGTTGATACACCTGGTTCCAGAAGTCACGTGCAGAGAGGTTCCTTCACAAGAATGCACAAGTGGGGTGAATATGTGAACCAAGATCAAAGACCTATGAAACAGTTTGGGGGGCAGCTCAAGGAAGAAAGGGCTGCACCAATCCCAGGTCAAGCCTATCCCACAGATGTGGAAAACCACCTACAGTTCCTCCTCCACAGGCACGCAGACCTTGCACTCTTCTCAGCTACAAACGTCCAGTGAAGCCACAGCATGCAGACGCTGCCATCCCACCTCAACTAGCAACGTGTGGGGCTCTGTACACCAACGACATGCCTGCCTGTTGGGAACTCAGGCCCAGGGCCCTACAGTGTCCTGGCTGAGTTCAGCACTCTTTTAAAAAAAACAAGCGTGCCGGGCGGTGGTGGTGCACGCCTTTAATCCCAGCACTCGGGAGGCAGAGGCAGGCGGATCTCTGTGAGTTCGAGGCCCGGCTGGACCGATAGCCTCCGAAACAATACAGAGAAACCCTGTCTTGTGTAAAAAAAAAAAAAAAAAAAAAAAGTGTGTATGAATGTTTTGCCTGGATGTGTGCATGTGTATCACATGCTTGCCTGGTGTCCCTGGAGGCCAGAAGAGGACATCAGATTCCTTGGAACTGGATTTATGGGCAGTTTTGAACTACCATGTGGGTACAAGAGCAAAACCTATGTCCTCTGCAAGATAAGCAAATGCACTTAGCCACTGAGCCATCTCTCCAGGCCCCCAATCCAGGATTCTTTACAAACATAGGAATGTCTCAGGCCTGGTTATCAGGCTCCTTGGCAAGTAAGGACCATCTCCTGAGACCATGTATACTACATGGGGAGCCAAAGCAGGCAGAACCACAGAGCCCCCATGGAAAGGCAGCTGGCAAAGAGAGATGCTTGCTGGGACACCGTCCTCAGGGTCTGACCTCTGGCAATAGGGTGCACATTCTTTCCAAGGGACTTTCTCCTTTCCCTGCACCTTGTCCAACCCAGTACTCATGGCCCAGCAGCCAAAGCCAAAACAGACAGGCTGAACCAGGGTGGCCTTCTCAGGATCCAGTGTCCCTTCCTGGTTCTTGGAGGCCTGCCTGGAACTGATGAGGCAATCTATACATTTGGGCACAACCCCACCGAGCAATATATTTTTAAACAGCTTATACACATGTGAGGCCAGAAAATGCCTTCAGTGATGCAATGGTGTTATTCCAGCTTGTCGTGAAATCTAATAACAAGTGTAAGCTGTTTTTACTACCTCTCTAGCTTATTCACTAAAAAAATAGGCTTGGCATTACAAAGTTAACTGAGGCTGTGTGTCGAACCCCGACTCTAGGGCTCTATATTTCCTTCAGAAGTCATTAAGTGCTGTCCTCCTTCAACCTATTTCAGTCTATCAGGAGATGGAAACTTCCTCTTAGTATCCAACATACATGTTCAGTTACTGTCCAGTGAGTAAGTCAGAAAGAACTACCACATACGAAGGAGGAAGGGCCTCTGTTGGAACCAAGATGGAAGTCATGGAAGCTGACCATGGAAGGGGGCAGGAGCTCTGTCCCAGGTTAACCCACAGGCACAGGTGTGGCACAAGCACATCAACAACTTGTCCCATTGTCCTGGATGGGGCCTGGGCTCATCTGTAAAGGTGGCTCAAAACTGTGTTCTGTGAGGTCACCTCAGATAGACACCTATACCTTGTCTTCAGTGGGGAACTGACAGGCTTGGAGAATGAGAGGAACAGAAGGTAACTCCATGGACAGAAACCATGTGTTTGTTGTAAGTAGGTGGCTCCGGAGTGGGGAGTCAGTGTGGGGAACCTAAGACTGCTTGTTGGTTATACCTGTCTGATTCAGAAGAGACATCATGAACCTGCCTGCACTGGATCTGCCCAAGGTCTGAAGAGCATGGCCAACCTGCTGAGATCACTCTCTCCCTAGCAAATAGATCTCCATTTCCTCAACCCAAGCAATAACCAGTATTTTCATACAGAACACCAAAAACTGATACATTATAGAAAGAGGCCTCCTAGGTGGGCATGGAGCCAACAGGACCATGTTTTATCCACCACAGTCATCCATTCTAGAGTTAATGGTCACAAGGACCAATGTCACACCACAGGCCTCACCATCTTGATTACATCCTAAGTCCTCCACAGCAAGAACCAAATGCAGCCAACCCTCAGGTTCTGACCCTGTCCCAATGATGGTGTCTAACTCCAAGACCATCTCATTCAGATCAATAGCCTCAATAGCTGAGAAGTGCTGGCACGATGCCAGACTCCAAGACAAAGAGGACAAAGACAGAGGAACGAGAGTGCATGGGAGAGGCTCCTCCTACAATCAGTACGAGGGACAGTTGGTAGAGGTGGCACAAAGGGTACTGATAACTGTCTAAATGTGTGACAGCTTAATCAAAGAGACTGATCACTTCCCACCTTTTCTAAAGTCATTACTCATGGCCCTGATCGAGGGATCAGCATAATCTGGGTGATACTGAACACTAGTGTGTGGGTTCCAAGAGAGGAGGTACCAGCAAAGGGCTAGAAGAGGATTAATTAGTTTGGTCACCCTAGACTCCTAGCCAATGCCTGCCTCTCACCATCTGTCTGCTCCTGTTCCACTAGCAATGAGCTTAACAGGGAAAGAACATGCCTCATTTTAAATGGAAAGACCCAGATACTTAAAAAAAAAACTTTGATTTTTTTTTTCCCTATAGTCCTATCAAAACAAGGGAACTGACTCCTAAACATTTCTAAAAGTATCACTGTGCACTCAACTGGCTGGACCAGGACCACAAGTCCCAGGGAAGAGTGAGGTGCTTCTGGAGACTCTTCTAGGCCATTGGGGCACTTACCTGTGCCATCTTGGCAAGGTCTAGAGAAGGCCTTTGCTCCTGCACTTCGTCAGGACGCCGCCGCTTCACGCCAATCTTCTTGTCATTAAGGACACATGGCTGGGAGCGGCTTCGGGCAAGCCCACTGGAGCGTCTTGCCAGCTCTGGCGTTGAGGCAGGTGTGCTGTTGGCTGAGGGTGGACAGTATTCTGGGAAGGAAAACTGCTCGTGTGAGCAAGAGAGAGACCGCTGCAGGTCCAGCCGGGCCCCTCCCACAGGGTGTGGGTCAGGGCTCCAGGTATCGCCCACCTGTCCACAGGGGGCTGAACCTGGTGCTCCTGGGCAGGGCTGTCCCCCAAAGCGCTGGTGCAGGCTCGACTGGTGGCAAGGTGGAGAGAGCCCATTGGCCCGGGCAGGGAGGCTGAAGCTGGAGCTCCGCTGCATGGGGCTGACACCATTGGAGTAGCGCTGGACGCTGCCCCCACTATAGCATCGTCTCTTCTCTACAGGAGTCCAGACTTTGGACCCCAAGGGCCGCCATGACGTACGGCAGCTGGACATCTCATCAGAGAAGGATAGTGACCGGCACTGGCGTTTGCTGGGAGGAGCTGAGGGGTTCCCGTTGTGGTCACTTATGCTGAGGTCTTTGATCAGGCTGGTCACTGCACAGGCAGTCACTGCCTCCTGGTGCCACAGGGAGCTATCCTGACACTTTTCAGGTAGACACTCCCAGATGCTGGCGCTTGGTTGATCAATCTGAAGAGGGCATTTTCTGTCCAGGTCTCTCCATCTGTCATTTTCTGGTGCATAAATACAAAGAGAAAACAGGATCTGAGAGGCCTTCGCAACAGCCTATTTGTTATATAGTACTTTGGCACCAAAAGGGTCCTCATAAATCAGCCTGTTCAATCTTACTTCATAGATGAAAACTGAGGTCCAACACGCTGAGTTGGAAGTCCTGGGACCCAGACTCACGCCTGGAATTCTTGATCTATCTTTCCTCCCAACATCCCAGGGTGATGGCCTGTCCTGAGCACTGCCCTGGTTGGTGGCAGAGTCAAGGGAGCAGTGTAAGTTAGATTATGGGAAAAGACCACGATCAACAATTAAGTCTTGGCCACTTCAGATGGGCAAGGTCAGAATGGGGCTGGGACGCTGCTAGTTTAGCTCATCTGAATTCCACCATCAAAACATCTGCTCATAAAAGGCACAGAATCTTTTATCAACTTGTTTGCCTTCCACCAAAATGTCCAAGAATATCAGCATTGACACCAGCTACCAATCACAGCACTTTCTTCATATCCATTTGATTTCTTGCTGAAATTGAGGATACGTAAAGCAGGTGAAATGGATAAGAGTAACACTTAGACCCAGGCAGTGGTGGCGCATGCCTTTAGTCCCAGGACTCGAGAGGCAGAGGCAAGTGGATCTCTGTGAGTTTGAGGCCAACCTGGTCTAACAGAGGGTGTTCTAGGGACAGCCAGGACTATACAGAGAAACCTTGTCTCAAAAAACCAAATCAAACCAAAACCAGACCAGCCAAACACAGGCCATTCAACTCTGTTAGAATGCATGAATCCATTGGCTGGTCCAACTGTGGAATGCCACCGGATCTGAACTTGAACTTTTATTTCAGTAAAATCTTAAGAACAAATTATTTTTCCGCTATAGAATCAGGAGCCATGCTGGGAATTTTAGGAGTTGCAAAGGTCAATCTGGCAAAGTTCTTGTTCTCAGGTTTACAACACAAAAGCAAAGGCCAGAAGGACATGCTGTCAGGAGTTAGCCCTGCCTATCTCTGATAATCTGTATGTCTGTGTATGTACTGGGTGGCAAATGTGATGGCTTGAGGCAGGCAGTCAGTGGAACTGAAACAATGCTGGAAATGGCACACAGCAGGCACATACCTGCCTCCACTGACACCCACAGCAATTCAGATCACTCATTGAGCATCCTTCTTGGGCCATGATATCCACACAACACCCTACATGAAGGATCACTCTGACCCCAGGGCAAGTAATACAGCTATATGACACAGTGAAAACTCAGGCTAGTCTGACATTGACTCTGCCTCAAGAAGCTTATGGTGCAGGAAGATGTGCTGTTTCAAAAGACTGTTCTATCCCTAGTAATGAACACTCCAAGTAGCAAGAATTATGAATATAGCTCTCCAGCACCACTCTTGTTTTTATTTCTTCCAGACAGGATGCTACTCTGTAACGTAGGGTCCTGAGCCTGTGGTGTTTGTGTGCTGTATGTGCTTGTGTGGTATGTGTATCTCTGTGTGGTGTATGTGTGTATGTGGTGTATGTGCATGTGTGCTTGTTTGGTGTGTCTGTATAGTGTGTGTATGCGTGCAAATCAGAGTAGGACAAACTCAGGTATTAGTCCTACCATCTCTCTTGCTCACTGATGAGCATGTCAGGCTAGGTGGTCAGTGACCTTCCAGAGATTCCCTGTCTCTGTCCCCAACTCCTGCTAGGGGCCACTAGGACCACATACATGATCCCTTCTGTGTCTGGCTTTTCTGAAGGTTCTTGGATCTGAATTTAGGTCATCAGGCTTGCACAGTGAGTATGCATAGTAAGTGCTTTACCCGCTGACCCATCTCCCCTGCTCAGTGTTTACCATTCTTTGAAAATAGTTTTAATTTGACATTACTTCAGTAAACCAAAACAAGGAATTTAAAACAGAGGAAATATAAACTAAACTAGGCATGGTAATATAAATTCAGCTTAATTCCAAGAAGTTGAGACAGGAGGATCTCTTTAAATGCAAGGTTAGCCTCAGCTATAGATGAGAAGAACTACAAATTAACATGACTGAGTTGTGACTGCCTATTAAAGAAGGAGAAACGTAATCCTAAGAAAAAGTTGAAATCAAATCAAAATGATAACAAATGACAGCAAATTGGTAAGGATAATCAAAATGTCCTACAGCAGGTGGCTGGTTAAACAGATTGTAAGAGAATAACACACAGCATGTGAACAGTGTAGTTTCAAGGACCAGTTAATGGTGATATGCTACTAAAGAAGTCATGTACAAAGCCCTATGATTCCTATTTAGTAAAATATATAGTGTGCTACACATGAAATAAAAAGGAACAGACCAAAATGTTAATGACTGATTGTCAGGTGGCTGGTTAATTTATGCTGTTTTAGTTTTGCTTTTCTTGTCCGTACATTTCCTCTGAGAAACTGTATTAACAAGCATGTGAGAGCTGTAGCTGCTGAGCCTACGAGACTGTGCTCCCTACGGGGCTGTGCTCCTTGAGCCTACAGGGCTGTGCTCCCTACGGGGCTGTGCTTTGCCTTCTCTCTAGAAAGGAGCCACTTTAGAACTAGGGCCCAAGCTTCATCTTCCTCTGGGTTCTCTCCTCTGGGCTTTCAGGAAGGTGCTGGAACCAGCTTCCCTTTGAGGCCAAGACACTGAAAACACCACAAGGCTCAGGGTTGTGGCAGGCTGAGGAAGGAACCAGCGGGCCTATCCACAGAGCAGTGAAAGACCACAATGGTAACACAGCTGGTGAGTGGGAGCCCAGGACACAAGATGGAATGTGTCTCAGTCAAATGCAGAGAAAGCCGTTGATTTAGAAGAGACTGACCCTATCTACGGGGGGGGCTCACTTGCTTTTCATTCTGCAGGCCTACCAGCTCTGAAGTAAATCCCAGGGTGGCTCTCTGGGGTCCTTCAGAGTGTGGTACACAGCAGACCTGGCAGAGAGTGGGAGGACATGAAGGAGAAGAGGGTGACAAAATGAGGACACAAATATAGAAGAGGCAGTGGGTGTTTACTTGTTACTTGTCACTGTCCCTAACACAAGAAGGTTTAATCTGGTTATGTCACAAAGCCACGATCCTACTCTGAGCCATGGACTGGCTACATATGAAACAGGCAGACAGCTAGGCAGAGTCAAGTGGAAGCTATTTCGAAAAAGGAAAGCACTGCTAGTGTGGATCAATAGCAGTCAGGCGGCCACTTGTCCTGTCTGCGGCACAGATCCTAACTGTTTCTAGCTTCATCACTTTGAAAAGTACAATACAAAAAAGTAAAAACAATCAGTGCTAAGTTTAGCTCTTATATTTCCACCCTTCACTCAGGGTCCAGAAAGCAGTTTGTTGGGTCAGGTCACCAGACAAAAGAACAGGAATAGAAGCTGATTTTTAATGGCAAACTGCCCTATGTGTAAAGCCCCAACATACAGAACACAAAGGGCTCTGAGAAGAAGATAGCGGGTGCCCCCACCCTGCCATTCTATATCACTTCTGCATAACAACTGGAACTCGTTCCAAAGTGACAAAAGCCATGGATATGGAAGGGCCACTGGGCAATGGTCACTTGATATGGTTAGAAAGGGAATGGTCCTTGGTTTGAATCTTAGTTCTGAACACTTCTTAATCTCTCTCAGCTGCTGAGAGAAGACACAGGCCCAGCAAAGCACCCAGAGTAATCTCTCAGAAGAGGCAGCCATCAATGTAATTCTGAAAGGATGGCACCAAAAAACATTTTTGTGTTTGAGATCTGCTCTTCTGCACCTGGTACCAATGCCTGTAGACTCAAGCTGAAAAAGGAACCAGTGTTTTCTGTACTAGGATTTTCTGGGATATGGTTCCAGGATGGCTTACTGGATAATGAAGGGAGGAGGTAGAACTGGGATATGGGGGGTTGAGATGAAGAATCCTGGTTGCTACAAATTTGACTCGTAACACTGAAGCTGGTAGGTTTGATTTGCTTCTGCTTTGGGCAAGCAGAGGACAGCAAACCTATAGAAAAGAATCTCGCCGGGTGTTGGTGGTGCACATCTTTAATCCCAGCACTTGGGAGGCAGAGGTACGTAGATCTCTGTGAGTTCAAGGACAGCCTGGTCTACAGAGTGAGTTCCAGGACAGCCTCCAAAACAATACAGAGAAACCCTGTCTCAAAAAACCAAAAAAAGAAAGGAAAGAATCTCTTTGCTTTCCGAGTCCTTAGAAATCCATGTTTCTCAGGCCAGGTGGGAACTCCCAGGGCTTCCACACCAAACGGCATATAGCCTACATCATCCTTATTACACCAACTTTCAGAAAGATCTTTTTTATTTATTTATTTTTATTTTATGCACATTGGTTGTTTTTCCTGCACGTAGTGAGGGTGTCATATCTTGTAGTTAAAGACAGTTGTGAGCTGCCACGTGGGTGCTAGGAATTGAACCTGGGTTCTCTGGAAGAACAGCCAGTGCTCTTAGCCGCTGAGCCATCTCTCCAGCCCCCCTTCATCAAGGACTGAGCCTGAAGTTTCTGACCAGCTACCCTTTGAGACAAGGAAACAGACCCCAATTTCACATTTACTGAACCCAGTCCTGCTGCCCTGACCAGAAAGCTGAGGCTGCTGGGTGCACAGATCTTGAGCTTTAAGAAAGAAAAGCTTGAAGGAACACAAATAGCATTTGACCTCAAATGTTCTTGTTTCCATTTCTGCACTTAAACTGGGAAATTCCCAGGGGCCCATATTCTTGGGAGACTATAAGACTTGTAGTGTTCAAAGGATAGAGGAGTTTTACAGCCTAAGAGATCTCAGTGCTGTGTTTTCGATACTCTCTTAAAGTGACACAGTCATAACACAATGTGGTTTCTAGAATAGCTTAAGTAGCTATACACAGACCCAAGAGACCCGATTCTTGTAGCCTTCAAGCCCAGGAGCAAACCCCAAGCCAGACCTGTGGCTGACTCATTCCTGGATTTCACACCTGTCTACTTGTGCTGACAGTAAGGTGTGGTCATGTATCCCTACTTCCCCAGGTTGTGGTATGCTAACGTGGCCT